TAAACTGTTCTTATCCCAGCCCACGAGTTTTTACTTTTTGTTTCAATTCTCTTCCCTATCCCACTAGGAGCAGGGAGGAGTGAGGAAGTGGCTGCGTGGTGCTTAGTTGCTGGCTGGAGTTAAACCACGACAGCCCTCTATGGAAATATTTCTCAATGTAAATGGTTATATAAATTACCTGTAATTTTCCAACATCACCAAAAAACAACTCCTGGACGGGACACTGTAACACTGGGAGCTGAGCTAATAAGGTTGAGCTTAATTAGGTAACCTAATAAGAGGGCAGGTTTTTGGTTTGTTTTTTTCCTGGCCATTTGAAGACTGCATATACATCCAGTTGTGTAGTTTGTGATTCCTGACATACTGCGTTGTGTTTGTGGAAGTTTCATAGTGAGATCGACACAGTAAATTGAACAACTGGCACAGCCCCTTTTCTTTGCTCCTGGGCCCCAATGCAATAGAGGTTTAGGGGAAAGTAGCGTCATAGCAGGGAGGGAGTGATGTTGTTAAAAGTGACAGAAGTAAAACAGAAACAGAAAGATAATACAGGAGATAGAGAGCAGGAGAGAGGCCAGCACCCCACTTACTCCAAATTATCTGTGTGTAGTAGTAATGCTGTAGTTACCTTCATAACTTGCTGCAGTTTCATTTAAACCTAGCAAATTTGGTCGTAATACTACTCTCAGACTGAGGAGCTAATTTTCAGTGGTTTGTTTTGGTTATTGTCAGGTTGAACATCAGTAAAATGCAAGGATGGGGATGGTATCCATATAGATATGGCATGCTTTATATAAATAACCAACCAACCTTTCTTGTATTGTTGATTGTTCTTTAAATGTTCCTTTGCTGGTGGCTTAGTCAATGAAGATGCTTTGATCCTGTTTTAACAGAGGTCAGTCAAAGCTTCATAAAGGAGAAATCGTGTTAAATTCTGAGCTGGATAGTGATGAAGTTATTCTGCAGAAATTTGCCTTTTCAAATGCCCTTTGTCTTTCTGGTAAGTCAATATTGTTTGTAGTATCAGCCTATGCTACAGATTTTGTGAAATGTCATTGGAAGTGGGACTTGTACTGTGACAGGTTGGAGAAGACTCGGTGTCTGGTTTAGGCAAACTGTGTAAAGGTCGATGGTGCTTCAGTGGGAGGATTCGTTTTCAAAGCTTTTACCTTGTCTTCTGTAGATTGGAATTACCTCATTCAATGTAAATTGTCTTAAAGATGAACAAAGCACCTTAAAAAACATACTTTGCAAAAGATAGACATTCTACTGAGCATCCTGTTCCCCACGCTCGAGAACTGTTCTAGGATGGCAATGAATGTAGAGTCCAGTATTAGAAACCTGTCAGTAATCTTAGGTAATTATCCTGACATCATTTCCTCTAATGGAAAAAGCCAGATGCCAGCTAAAGGAAGTAATGTAGAGCAGTGATTCCCAGTTGGGCAGGTGTACGAGGATCAGAGGTGTGGACCAGAGTCACAGAGAATGTTTTCCAGGCGTATTAGCCATGGCAGGAGACAGCGCGAGGCACTGGGAAGAAGTCTGGCGCAGCAGCGTTGCTGCAGTACATCTCTCTGCTGGTTCAGACCTCAAATGAGGTGGGAAGTGGGAGTAGGAGCTAGCAGCAGTAAGGCCGTCCTCAAAAAGACCTTTAAAAGAAATCGGGTCTATTTGTCCCTACTGCTTTTAGGGTAAATTACAGGATTTCTGTAGTAGCTGGGGAAATGCACCTTTAAACGGAAAAGACATCAAGGAACAGAATGCATGTTTTTGAAGTGATACACCATTTGATCAAGGAGTACAGCATAACTAAATGGTTCTTGACTGTCAAAGGAAGAGCTATTGAGAAAAAAAGCCCTTCGTTTTCTATAGTTTTCCTGTTCATGAAGGCAGTGCATGGAGGAGTAGTGGCACGTACAATGGGGCGAGCGATTTATTCCCAGGAGATCATTGGTACCAATTTGTGTTAGTGTGAGACATGCACTGCATAAAGGAAAACAGTTCAATAATGTTGAATAAAAATAAAGGGTGCAAGTGTAGTCCAAGTCAAATTTATGACACAGCAGAAACCAACCTCTGTCAAATAATCGGTGATGGCTGAGATGCCTATTGGCTTTCCTTCAGGGGCTAAATTAAATGTCATTTAAGTCACTGACTTGGATTAGGCCTCTGTATTCAGAAGATGATGGTGAAAAATTGCTCGGCATTGGATTTACTGTCAGTGTCCTGACTGGATGGTACTATCGATTACTACCATGAGAGAGTTCATTTTGACAATTAAATCTTCCCTGATTAATTTTTCTGAGTGAATAGGGTTGATTTTTGATCTGTTGCTACTTCATTCGTGTCTGGGACTCTGTGGAGTAAAGAACAAAGGCCTGAGTTGTATCTTCTTCCTGTAGAAACATCCTTCAAGGCTCAAGCTCTGAGGGACAGTGGAATTTGTGTTGCCATTGCCTGTGCTGAACAGCTTCCATAGAAGAGAAGTTGTATCTTCAGTGAACAGTATGTTCACCTAAAAAGAAAATGGGAGATTGCTTAAGTTTGAATTTAGCTTCAGCAAGTACAGGCGGTGTGTCCATACAAGCTGCCTCTCCGTGGTCTGAGCATGCTGCATCCAGTACCAGACAGATGGAGAATGAGAGTTCTGCAGGGCACCAGAAACACAGCGGAGACGCTTGAGTGGCACCACGTGCCACCGGCCTGACTCCAGCACGGCTCAGCCTCTCCTGCCTCCTCGCAGTGTAGTTTCAAAGGCTTCCTGCATACGGTAGAGCACTTAAACACACAGCTTTTGAGCTGAAGCAAAAACTCTCCAGGATCTGAAGCGATCGTTTGGAGAAGAGAGCTGCGCTCAGGGTGGTTCTGCGCGCAGAGCTGTCTCAGTGCCCGACCCAGCTGTGTCTGTAGGTGTGTGAACCTGGATGGCGTAATGGTGACAGCGACTGCTGCAAATGATGTTTGTGCGTATCAGTGTGTCTTGAAGCAGCATGTTGGCAGATTTAAAGTTACGATTACTTGAAAGCATATATACCTCTCTCAGTGTTCTGCTTTGTCCCTCTGTGTTGCAGTAAAGCTGGCTATTTGGGAATCATTATTGGATAACTTTGTGGAATCCATCCAGTCAATTCCTGAGGTGAGGTCTTTTTTATACCTCTCCCCTGCTTTTCTCGCGTGCTTTGTAGAAGATCAGTCCAGATACAGCTGAGGAGATGGAAAAAACAGTTGAACGCCTAACACATTTGGTGGTAAAGCCATCAACGTACAGAAGCTCAGAAGAGCTGCAAAGTGGTGGGACAGGAAACGATGATCTTTGAGGGGTTGGGAGTGGGGTTCTGCATTGGAATAATTCCCGTGTTATGCCACTGTCACCCGCCACCGTTGAATGTGTATGTGTGACAGGACAAGCAGCATTTAAAAACTTGGCCAAACACAGTCTGTGGCAGCTCGGGCTGAAAGTAATGCACTTTAACTTGACCATAGTGAGGAGTTTGAGTGAATTACTAAACCACAGGTCTTCATGAAACTTAATAAAAAGCGCAAAGCCCATATGATGTCGCATATAAAAATGAGATTCATAGGGTTCAAAAGACAAGACGTCATTTTTACTATTTTTTTATGAAGGGAATAAATGGTAATACATTGTTTGTTGTAAGGAAGAAGTCTATAAATAGGCTAAGTAGTGGCAAGGTAAAAGAACATTGTCATGACTTAAAAATAACAATAGTAGGAAGAAAAAAACCAAACGATCTCTGTTCAGGAAATCATTCATAGAAAACGCTCCAAGATTTTGCATAGATACTGATGACGTACTCAGTGATTTATTGAAAAACCTGGATGAACAATTGCATGGTGATATTCTTATAAAGCTAGATAAGCAATGCACTAAGCAAATAAAACTCAAATGATAGTACATATGATACGCATTCAGATTTTAACTCGTGTACGTTCTTCAGGCTGTAAAACTCCAGACTTCTGAACTACTGGTGCATGCTACTTGATCAAGGAGTGACAAACTTGTTACTTTGCAGATACTGAAGTCACGAAGGAAGGTAAAACTGTCTCATGCAGATGTAATGCAGAAAATTGGAGAACTGTTCGCATTAAGGTAACTTTTTTGGTTACACCCAAGACATTGTATTACACAGAACTTAAAAGATTCAGTTGTGCATGGCACAAAGACCAGAAAACATGGTAAACGCAGCAGCGGGGTGGGGGCGGAATTCCTTCCACCTTCTTTTGGCTGGGAACCACGTGCACTGTTTACGTCAGTCAGAGGACGCGCTGCCTCACCGCTCACACCCGGCTCAGACAGGCGTTCAGCACCATTTCGTAAATGGCCAAATTCCACGCTCTCTTCCCTCCCTGGGTCCCTCCAAGTAATGCACGTCTTGTAACCAATACTTACAGTAGATACTGGAGTATGCAAAGGATATCAGGAGGAAGGACAGGGGTAGGTAGAACTGTTAACTGTGGCCGAGAGTCAGTAAAACTTTTCTGTGAGTTCTGTTCTCTTGACTTACACCGAAACCACTGCTACACTGTAAGAATTCAATGTTTTTTTTTCCCCTCTCAAGTGAACTTTGGCCATTAGGAATGCAGACCATTACACGCTCTTTTACAAAAAAAACTCAAAATCAGTGAAGAAAGAAGTAAATTTAAAAAGCAATTCCTATTTTGAACACTGGATTTTATATCCTTACTTGAAGGACTGTTTAGTAATGAACAATGATGTTCTACATGTCCAAAGACCTATGTGAGCAGTAGATTGAGGGTGGGAGATTTTAGCTCTCAGCCTTTCTAAGGTTGAGCCGTAGCCTGGTTCTGGAAGGTGTGCTGTGCTCGCGTAGCCAGCACGCAGCGCCGGTCACACTTCAGAGCTGTGGGATAGAAACAAGCTGGTAAGGAGCTCCCCAGGAACTGTAATTCATCTACGGCGTCGGCTTCAGCAAGCTGCTCGCACGACCAAGGACTTCTCTGCAGGTATCAGGAGTTAAGGAAGGTGGCGAGTTGAGGAGGCAATGCTGCCATAAGGGACAAGTCATTTGTGCTCAAAACTGTTACACAGTATTCTCAGAAAAGGTTCAGGAGATGTGACCAATTTTAAACAATCGCTACAATTGTATTTTTATTATGAAAGGAGATTCTTTTCATATTTTACTTAAAAATACAGGAAAACGTTTGTTTCTTCTAACTGCTATGTAAATATTTGCTCCTGTATTCACCAAAAGCAAGTCTGAACTGCTGTGGTACCCATTTTTTTTAGACACCGTATAAATCTGAGTTCAGACCTGCTAATAACACCTGACTTCTACTGGGACAGAGAAAAACTGGAAGAACTTTACGACAAGACTTGCCAGTTTCTCAACATTAATCGCAGAGTTAAGGTAGGTGACTTACTGTTACAAGAATTTTCCACGCTCAGATCAGCTGTCTTTGGCTCAGCAGGGTTACAGGCTGCTCCAGGAACGTCTGTTTTAATTGTAGAAACTGAGTAAGGAACAATAGGATCCTATACACTATCCCCCTTTCCACGCATTCGTAACGGGCTTGTATCTTTTATCCAGTTTAGGTTAACAGCCCTGCCCCAACCCTGCCTCACATGAATGGATTGCATATTTCCTGAGCCACTAAATTAGGCTTTAAATAGTTATAAGAAGAGTGGATTTAGTTGTTATTCTGAAATGCATGCAAGAAAACAAGTTAAAAAACTGAGATGTGAAGCAGTCTTCTTACTGACGTGATCACTCGGGGCCAGTTCCTTGAAGGGCGACATAACGCTTACTGCCGAACCAGAACAAGCAGCAGGAAAACTCCTCTCCTGGTGGTACAGCAGCCTGGAATCTTTAGTTACTTTCGAGGCATTCGCGTAAGCGGCATCTTCTTTTGTTGTGCCCGTTTTCATGAGTAGGCATCGCCCAGAAGCAGTTTGATACCTGCAGATGCAAATCTAAATCTCTGTTATAATTTTTGTGAACCTGCTGAGATAAGATTTATTTATATCGAAACTTGTGTTGCTTCTGCACGTTGCCTCAGGACTTTCTGTTGTGTTCTTTCGCAGAAGAGTGTTAACACCTTCCTAGCTCTGTTGAGTGAGCCTGTCTGTGGATTGTAGTCCTTTATTTAGCGATCGCATTCCACTGACAGAATCCAGAGTTGCCATGTATTCGGAATCTCTTGCAGGTGATGAATGAAAAGCTTCAGCATTGCATGGAGCTGACGGACCTAATGCGAAATCACCTGAATGAGAAGCACGCGCTGCGCCTCGAGTGGATGATAGTAATACTCATCACCATAGAGGTTGGTGGGGTTTTTTCCACTATTACACTGAAAATGTAATAACAAGTGCAACTCACATACTTTACAATTTGAGAATCAAGATTATTTTATTAATGTAACGTACTGTACAAGGGGATTAGTCTTCAGCTCTTTGCAAGTAACTTTTGAACTGCAGCTACAGTTATTTTTCAGATTATCTCGTTTACAGCATAAGCTCTTTTAAGGATTATTAAATCAAACAAAAATTCATATCAATGTGTTTGCTATTCCACAGGTTCTGTTTGAACTTGCAAGAGTAGTTTTCTGACGACAGAGGAAACTCAGGAAGAAGAAAACTGACAAAACCATAAAGACCTCATGGCCCAGAAAATTCCTCTCTATCACATGCTTCTGGAAAATAGTGGAATCGTGTCTCTTGATAAATATGTATGTCTTCTACTCAAAAAAATTAATAAATCAGTCTGTGAATGTTGTTCCTAAGTGCTGTACTGGTGGTGTTAGAGAAGTCTTAACTTCTGGCTGTGCTGGTGTAAAGCGGAGGTACTAACGGTATGTTTGCAGGGGAGGTTTTCTAGGGAGTAGGCCGGGACACGTGCAGGGCTGATGCACGGAGAGGTTTAGCTTCGTCCGCGCACTCAGCGAGGACAGCAGGTGGGTCCCTCCCACGCCCGCTGCGTTCACTTGGTGAAAGGCACTGCTGCCTTCTCCCCTTGGCAGGCGGGGAGGCCGAGTACATCGCTACCTCGTGGGGGTGAAGTTTTCCCTCCTTTTCCCCAGCTCCTCCTTGGCTGGTGCTGACACTGTCCTGAGCTTGGCAACAGCACTACTGGTTGTTCTCCTTAAGTTACTTGGCATGATTTTAATGTACCTGGCAGGTATATTTAATGTTACGTCCGACCGCATCACAAAAAGGGATTTACATACTCGTATGGGAATACCTTTATGTAGAAGGTATTGATGTGAAAGGGGAACTAGCAGAACTTTATCTGAGGTCACAGGAAGCTGTAACAGAATGATAAACTAAGTACGGCTCACAAAATTTCTCCATTACTAGACGTCCACCTTATCCTATTACCTGATCCTTATCAGTACAAGTTGCAAGGAGTGAATTAGCATAGGGGAAGGTGCCTTAATTATGCTCTAAGGTAAAAGTTTCAGGTGTTGGCGGGTTGGTTTGGTTTGTTTTTCTAAATCTATTCCTAGTCTACAGGGCTGTAGGTTGCTGTCTCCAGAATGTTACCACTTACTCTTACGAGGGGATTTTTTCCCCCCAGTAACCTCTCTTTCTAAACATGTTTCTCAGAACTACTACACAACCTCTATTTCATCACCTTTTTCAAAGTCACGTTAGTCCAGTGTACCACTTCAGGAACATAACTTAAGAACTTTGTTAAAAGCCCCTGAAGCATCATTAGTGAGCCACGATGACTAAATTCAGGCTAGAAGTGTGACTGCATTTGTAGTAGCTTACTGTTCTCTCTTCACCTGGAAACAGCATTTCCCAGCATGGCATTCGACTCCTGTTAAATACATCAAAGATGTACGCAATGGGGAAGGAATAAAGTCAGGCAGAGCTAGGAAAAACATCCGACTAAAAACCCGTCCTTTTGCCACAAACTCTGTTACCAGTGCCACAGGAGCCCCTTAAGAGTAGGCTTTGTCCTTGGAATTGGAACAGGTCACACCTGGAGATCTTGGTTCCGCAACAGCTCAACTACCGCTTCTCTGGACCGCTGAGAAGCTCTGAGCCATCAGCCCCACGCGGGGAAGTGAATCTGTCAACGGAGCAGCTCAGTGACAACATCTTGTCCTCCCTCACACCCATCTACGGGCTTACGCGGGGTTATTACAGAACCAGTGCATCACATCCTTCACGCAGCACAAAAACTTACCAAGCACCGCTTAGTTCGAGTAACAGAGGATTACGTCACATTGTAATTCTTCTAGCAAACGTTTTTCACCCTTGTAGACAAGTAGGCTCCCCCCCCCCATTTGAGTGTAATACTTGTGCTCAAGAACATAAGTTCCCACTCGTCTCACATTTAATGTTTCAGTATTTCAGCTAAATTGCTAAAATGCAAATTTGCCAACTGCATCTATCAGGAACAGTGGTTTTAAAGTCATTTGAGGACTCCTAGATGCTCTTTAAAAGTAGAAAGCGTCTAGGCTTGATTATCTCAAGTGTTCTGCCTTTATATTTAAGAGTTACCAAGTCAAACACCTCAAAACAAGAGAAGCACAGTTACTTTTGAAACCTTACATCAGTTTATATTGGCCCATAAAATCGTAGCCATAAAACTCGCACTCTTCCCATCAAGCCCCCAGCCCCACGTGCTGTGTGGAGCGGCCATTCGTGCTTTTGCAGCTTCAGTGAAGCCGTAACCGTGCGTTAAGACTTTGTATCCGCCTGCCCCTGGGCAGCTGCATCAAGGGCGGAGGGGTTTTTGTTTTACCAACCAAGGTACAGCTCCTGCAAAGGGAGAATGTTCTCACTAGGTAACAGGCAGAGAACCAAGACCAAGGTGGGAGGCGCATCCAGCACCTGACCCCAGCTGTCCCAGCCCTACAGGCACAGCGAGCGGAGCCCTCCGGCAACCGGAGAGCACTTGGGAAACTCTCCCCACCTGCAATCTGCGTTTCTGCTTCAAGCTGGAGACCTCGCGGGGACCCTGTGCGAGTGTGTGCGTGGCTGAGCAGCAGAAAGGGTTATGGCAGAGGCGAGGTGAGGCTCCAGTTCCAGAAGCAGCACAAAACTGCCTTAGACCCGTCCTGGGTCTGCCTCGTCCAGCACACACCTCCAGAGCATGACAGAAAAGAACCTAACGCAGTTTGCACAGTTGGAGCCTTCACCAAAGCGGGTCTATTCTAACCAGTACGGGCCACCTGGGGGGCATGGAAAGAAAGGGGCAATAGCAGTAAATACAGAACATACAAGGAAAACCAGAGAGGAATCATGTTATACCTAGAACTCTAAAATTTTAACCTTTTTAACAAAATTAAGACTGAACAGCAAAGTTCTGTTCATACGGAACCTTGTTAGACCGTCCTTTATAAGGATCCCAACTGTGCAGACTGCTTCTGTCTGCCTTCTGCCATCAGATGAGGTAAAGGACAACTTGTAGATGATTTTCTTTGGCAGATGCGCCAGAAAGCTGCCATACGACTAGCTCTTTGTAACACAGCGAGTGCTGCCGGGAGTTGGGACGCCTGACCTGCAGTCGTGCGCGGTGGGGCAGGGGCTGCACTGGCTGGCGGGGCGGGCGCTTGGGGGCAATGTCTGGGTGGGCAACTGCACGAACCCAACACCTCCCCAGAGCTCTCTGCAAAAACCACCTATATTCAGTCCTGCCAGCACCTAACGAGCTTCGATGAGGATGACATTCTCACCAACTTCACGCACCTTCCTGAAACAAAAATACAAGAGCACTGGAACATGTAAGAAAGAGTCTCTCCTGCCCCACCCCACCTTAGTCCTGGGAACTGAACAAACTTCAGCTCAAAGTTTTGTAAAGGGGGGGGAGCCAGATACTTTGTGCCCACCTAAATGAGTCCATTTACTGGTAGCCAAGTAACAAAGTTGCCTCATAAAGGAAGGTACAGGACATTAAGACAAGACACAGATGGGTGTCCTTGGTACTGACAATGGCTGTGGGGAACCTTTTCCCATCTGTGGGCCCTGCTCATGTAGGCCAATTCAGAAATTGCGAACAGCACTGGTGTGCTGAGTTTGTCAGCTTGCTTTTCCTCGCCACTTTCCCAAGACCATCAAGATACTGTCCAAGGAAAGCCCACAGGCTGGAAACTACTGTTGTGTGATGTACCACCGTCCTTCACCCGACGGCATTTAACATCTGCCAAGAGTCCCATTATCCCGGTCTGCAGACTGGCTGATGACACTAGCTTGACAGCAACCAAAAAGAAACGCAGACTCTGAGGCAGCTGGTAAGAGATATGCACGGGGTTTAAAAACCAAAACCGCTGCCCAAAACATTTGTCGTCTTGGGGGGAAAAAAAAAGCCGAACTATCTGTCCTAACTATCTAGGAGGGGGAAAGAGCGTCTTGAAATGTATATAGCCCCAGACGAGAAAAGGATTTTCAAGAGACACTAATCCTTTACAAACAGCAGGAAAGCAAAAATCTTTGTCAGCCTTAGAAAATTATTTTGCCGTAGCTGTACACTGTATGAGGTAGCCTGTTTCTCCCTGTCCCCCGAGTGCCTGCCAGTGGCATACTTGTTGACATCACCTGCGTGTTCTGAACCACACATAAAACCCAGATGGCCGAGTCTCAGAAAACTAAGCAATTCAACGGTTCGGGGTCCTCCGGAGTTTTTGACAGAGTAAGAGCTGGACACACCTCATCACACTGGGGAAACAGAACAAGAAACCCCCTCTCCTCGCACACACAGCATGACAACCACCCCCATTTCTGATTCTTTAAACAAACTTTACTAAACAACTTTAAAACAAGGACAAGCATTTTTTTTCCTTCACTCTGTTTTGAGCTGTCGAAGGCATCACGGCTACAGCCGGTATCACCCTGTCTGTGGCAGCGTGCGTTCGTTCATTCACCCGTTTCTGTCCGTCTTCAAGGTCCAGCCATTCAAGAAATACATTTTCCAAACCGGTGGAATCTGACGACTGAACAATGGCAACTGCCCATTACTGCTGCCCCCCAATACTTTTTAACACTTTCCTGAGCTTGAGTCAATGCTGACAAACAATTTAGTCAAAACTGTTTATTAACTATCTCATGAGCCTAAAGTCACCGTTTAGATGACATCACACAGCAACGTGACCATAGTATCAACACTATTTCACACAGAGCGGCTTTCTCTACAGGATACCCTACCCGCAAGGGCTTTGAAAGCGCACTCGGTACAGTTGCGGTTTGAATCCTCTTTCCCAAGGAAAACAACACATGCAAGTACATATATTACTGTAACTTTATAGTCACGCTCCACTAAAAATGTCACTCCAGCCAAGAATGCATAGTCACGTTTGAACTTTCCCGGTTAAAAGCGGGCCAGGCCCATGTAACGGGCTAATCTGGGACTAAGGCAAAGCCGGAAAGTAGAGGGCTAATCTACCCTGCAGAAGCTGTGTCAGCTCGGTTACACTAACAGTTCCTGATGGCGATGAGACTCCTAACAAGAAAAATTCTACACGTACAGTTAAACCATTTCCTTAGATGACATACATTGTACTAACAAAAGGATTTTTTAATGATTAATTATTTTTTCCCCGGTCAAAATTGCAGCTACTCACTAGCTGTTGATAAAGCTTTGCTCACGAGGTGTAGGATCAATTCCTAGCACACATACTGATACCAGAAAAACAGCTTAGCCTACAGAATGGCAAAGACCTGCTTCTTCATTTTTTCACCTCATACAGCCTACCCAAAAAGTGGCTTCCACACCATAGTTCTCCTTCACCTCTAGCACAACC